TTGATTTTCATGGTATACATGGTAACTTTAAATTGTATAGTATCTAACACACAGTGCTAGAGTATATAAGTATACAGATGCATGAAAAATTAATAGAAAAATGTAGCAATGGTGTCACAAACATCAAAAAGAGAGTAAACGGAAGCAATACCTTGAGAAATCGCAGTATGAAGATGCATTAATGGTTCAATGCTTCCAAAGTCCTTTAAAGCAAAACATATTAGTAAGACTACCATTATTCAACTCGATGATCACAAATAGAAAAGTTTGAAGTTGAAATGCTTTATTCTATCTTGAAACAAGAGGAACATGCGAAGAAAAGAGAAGCAAAATTGACGGTTTCTGAAACGAAAACTATGACAGATCCAAAATAAGGTTAGATAGATTGAACAAATTAAGAAACACAAACACCTCAAGAATCACATGTGTGATTAAAGTACCTACCTTGTATTCATCGTCAAATTCAATTTCAAAAGCATCACAAATAACTTCAACAGAAGCTCGATGTCTACCACTTTTACCTGGGCTTTAGTCCACCATTTGTACTTGGGTTTTAGATTTCTTCTTCAGTGCTCAAGTTCTAGGGTTTCTTTTGAGAAGAAAGAGAGAAAATGAAAAGCAGCGAAGTGTAAATGAAATAATGAAATGTTTCAGATTTTATTTTATTTTTATTTTAAAAATTTAAATAAATATGTAATATAATAATTCCATGTCATCCAATAAACGCCAAGCTGGAATGTCACGCATGCACAAACTAAAATAAATTCACAAAATTTAACAAACAGGACCAAAGTGGCTAACGGAAGTATACTTAAGAGACTTAAAATGAACGTTTATTAAATAAGAGACTAAATTGAAACTTAAAGTTAAGTTAAGGGAGCAAAGGATGCATTAAGCCATTATTTTATTTGTAGGACGATTAAAATATTATTGTTTAATTATTATACATTGTATAATTTGATTACTCAATTTTTTTGTTATTTTTATTTGTTTTGATTTTTGAAGATTTTATGTTTTCAAAGCCTATAAATATGTATTTTTTTATTTGAGTTTTATATAAGTTTAATTGAGATGCACTCAAATCTAATAAAAAATATATCATACAAATAATTTAAAATCTTTAATTTGACTTTGCAATATAAGTAATAATTATTGATAATAATGTAAAATAAATATATATGTAAAATAAATGTTTAATATCTTTTTTAGTCCCTTACTTTTACTTCTAAGTTTATTTTGGTCATTTTTATTTTAAAACATCCAAGTTGATCCCTTGCGTTATTAAAAATGTATCACGTTTGTCCTTTCTGTTAAAAACGTTAGTGGCGTGGTAAATTGTTGCTTAGGTGACAACAAAGCATTGTTTAGGTGGCATGATAAGTAATAATACTGCTTAGGTGACAACAAAGCATTGTTTAGGTGGCATGATAAGTAATAATACTGCTTAGGTGACATTGTAACTCAGATTATATCCCCCATTTATTTTTTTCATTCCAACAAATGCTGAAATAGGAACCCTAGTAGAGAAAGAAGAGAGAACCATGAGAAACGAAGAATCTATTGAAGAAGACGAAGGTGCATCATCCTGTACGAAGGTGGCAAGGTCAGTTTACACAATGTCTTTATCTATTTATTATGTGTTCATAGGCATTTTCTTACCTGCATTATATGTTCATAGTTTTTATTGTTGGGTTTAGATATCTAGGGTTTTCTCCCCTTTTGAAATATGCAATATAAATTTGCGTTTTCTTGTCTTAGGTAGAAATGGATGAAATTTTGCGTTTGAAAATTCATCATAGTGGTAAGTTTGTGGATTCTGAAAAAACTGTGTGTGTGTGTGTGGGTGGGGGTGGGGGGGGTTAAATGCAATGATTTAGAAGTAGATGCGGATAGGTGGAGTTACTTTGAATTGGTTGGTGTTCTGAAAGATCTAGGTTATACTGAGGTAGACACCATCTATTATAATGACCCCACTTTTGGGATGAATGTTCTTAATAATGACAAGGGAGCGTTAGAGATTGCTAACCTCTGTAGGGTACATTTGACAATTGACATGTTATGTTTGAGTTTCCATACGAAGACGTCATGTTACAAGCATTATTCTTGTGAAAAACATGACGTCTTCGTCTGGAAACTCAAACTCTACTGTTAACTAAGATACTGTCAATATAAGTATCTTAGTTAGTTATGATTTGACTATGTCATGCTTGTAATTTGTGTGAAAAAACTCTACTGTTAATTTTGTGATGCGTGTTTGTTAATTTCATGATGCGTGTTTCATGTTAGTAGAAAATACTCTAGAGTTGTAGGATGTTGATATGCAAGTTTGTTGAAATGGAAGAGATTTATGCTAAAGTATATACCATATAATATATTCACTAATTTAGTCTTTGAAATTGAGGTGTAGAGTAATTTAGTCTCAAAGCTAAAGGATTTTTAAAATGATTCATGAAATTTTAAATCTTAAATTATATTAGTCCTTCTAAAAATTCAAACGTTCGATTCTTTTTTGAGATTGACAAATGTTTAATTTAGTTCATGAAATTGTCTAGGAGGAACTTGTATACTTAAGCATTTTCGTTTAAGGAATTGTTTTGGAATTTCATTAATTTTAGTGATCAGAATGTCTGACCCCTACCATATATGGCAATGTCTATAAAAATATTAAGTACAATTCTAATGATTGGAAAAGTGCAATGGAAGAATATATCATAACAAGGCCTAAGCATACAATGTACCATGACAACAATTCAAACCACAGATAGTGCAGAAATGTTGATTGATCATGAAAAAATTTCAGTTTCCAAACTTCTCAAACAAAATATGGACATAAAATTATTAGGTGTGATACTTTAATTAGTTAAATCTTATTCATTTCATTATAGAAATTTTACAGTAATGATTATATATTCAAAACTGTACGGATATTTGAAACAGTTAATTTATAAAAGTCATGAGATTGAATTCTATGATACAATCAGCCCATTACTTTTCTTTAGCACATCTTTGACTAATGCTCTCAAATGATTATGTAGATGTGATCTTGATTAGTCTTCATTCATATCTTTTATAGCTCAAAATTAAATAAACACTTATATAAGAAAACCATTTTATACATTCTTCTATAATTTAATCTTGTCTAATCATAAAAATGACCTTAAAATTTGGTCATTATTATAAACAAAAGTCATTAATTTATAAACTAATTAATACATGTATTCCTAGTATATTCTTTATTTAATTTAAAAGTATTTAATGTTGTAATAGATTAATCAAATATAACTAAATATATTATAGTAAAATTTACTCTGATTATACACGAAATTAAAAAAATTAATTACATTTAACTAACTTTCTTAATCAATGTGAAAATAATTATATTTGTTTATAATTGTAACCGGAGTAATATTTATTTTAAGGGTAATGTTAACTTGTGCCCTTGGGGCACATGTTAAGAAAACCATTTATAGTAAATTTGCATTGCAAAAAATGATTTAAAAATTAATTTTATACTTTAATTAAAGTTTATACACAATTCCCAAGACAATGTTTCTTAATTTAATTCTTAACATGTGCCCCAAGGGCACAAGTTAACATTACCCTTATTTTAAAATTGAAGATATAATAAATCCTATTGAAATTCATTAAAAAGAGATAAAATCAAATCAGTGCTCGGTTTTTAAAATATTATCAACCATTTTAATGAATATTTGTGAAAAACTATCGATCATTTTTTCAAAATTTATTAATATGAATCAAAACAAATAAAACTATTGATTTAAATATTAAAAAATAACGAATTATCGACATTTTTTAAGTAGAAAAAATATTTTAAAATAACTAAATTATCCTTGATTTAAATAAAAAATTACTAAATTACTACATTAGTTGATTAAGTAGTTAGTGGGAGAAATATTAAAAATTACTAAATTAGGATTTTTGTGTTTTTATTTTTTAAAATAAAAAAATAGATATATTCCAAAAAACCATACAAAACGGCGATCTCAAATGATTCAGCCCAACAAACAAAACTACCCAAGCAACTACAATAAGAGATTGGTTATATAATTCCTAAACTTTTTCTTTACCCACCCTCTATACATTATACAATCAATGATATTCCTAGTAACTTTTTCTATATTGTTGTTATCTTTAAAAATCACAATATTTCGGAACTACCATATATCATAAACGGTTTCGGCCAAAATCCATTTTAAACAAACCCAGCTTTGCACCCTTTACCCTTAGTTTGCCTCAAGATCCAATTAATCTCCTCCCTCCAAGCCTGGGGTTGATGATTGACACCCATCCACAACACTTGCCTCCAAATATCGTTGAGCACCCGACACTCAAAGAACAAGTGATCCTACGTCTCCTCACTAGTACCACAAATCTGACACAAGCCTTCTTGAAGTAATCCCAATTTCATCAATCTCACCTTTGTGGCCAGGCGGCATTGACACGCCATCCAGCAATTTAGGACTGCCCGCGGTCTAGCATTGTTGTTTCGAATCACATGACTCCACTCAGCAGGACAATGATTGTTAACAAGATGAAGATAAGTTTTCCTCATTGAAAATTTACCATCAATCAACATTGAATCCCAAAGCTACTGTAACTGGTTTACAAGACCTCTGCTTGCCATTATTCCTCTCACAATCCACGAGCTCGTTTTCTTCAGCTCTGCATTCATTACTTCTTCACCTTTTAGATAATTACTATGGATCCACTTAACCCACAAGTTATCCAATTTCATGCTGATATTCCACAAACACTTTAACATGGACACCTTGTTCCAAATGCTGATGTTAATGATGTTCAAGCCTCCTTGATTAACAGGAATACACACTTTAGCCCAAGCAACAGGGTTTCTCCTCCTAATCTCAGCCTTAACAGTCCATATAAATGACCTGCATATAGCCTCTATTTTGTGAATCACCATCTTACGAAATGGGAAGCAATTCATCCAGTACTGAGTTGTTTCATGGTGATACTTTTCACTAACTGAATCCTACCAGCAACGCTAAGCAGCTTACCGACCAATGTCTAATCCTACAAACAATCCTCTCCACCAGAGGTAGGTAATGGCTCACATTCAGCTTTTTACTGAGCAGAGGCACACCCAAGTATCTCACTGGGAGAGGGCCCTCATCAAACCCAGACACAATCTTGATCTCCTGAATGGTATAAGCATCCAAACCACCACAAAACAGCTTACATTTGCTGGGATTTATAATGAGACCTGCGGAATCATAAAACTTTTTAAGGGAAAGCTCAACAGAACCAACATCACCTCTACAGAACAACAAAACATCATCAGCAAATGTTAGGTGAGTTAGAGCTAATTTCTCACAGTTGATATGATGGTTAAAGTTAGGATTCAACTGCATTTTCACCATTAACATGTTCATGTATTCCATCATTGAGACAAATATCATAGGGGAGATAGGGTCCCCTTGTCTAATGCCTCTCTTTGCCTGCAGAACATCAGTAAACTCACCATTTACATTGAATCTGTAACTGACAGTAGTTGTGGCTTTCATGATCCAACCAACAAATCTTCTAGGTAAATCAATCTCCCTCAAAATACACTCCAGGGCTTGCCAATTTACCATATCATAGGCTTTTTGGAGATCAAGCTGCATCATACATCTAGGAGTCCCCCTTCCTAGAATAGCCTTTTATCAATTCAAAAGCTAATAAAATATGGTTCTGAATAACCTGCCCAGGGACAAATGCTGCCTGACTCTGGTGAATAACATGCTGCAAGATGTTCCCAAGTCTGTTAGTAAGAATCTTAGATATGATTTTATAAACTATGGTGCACCCTGCTATAGGCCTAAAATCCTTCACATATTTTGCATTATCATTCTTTGGGATGAGAGTGACCACGGTGCTATTGAAAGCCTTATACAAGTTGCCTCTCTCAAAAAAATCTTGAATTTCTGTCATGACATCCTTCCTTATAATATGCCAACTAGCTTTGAAGAACTTTGCCCCATATCCATCTAACCCAGGTGCTTTCACATATCCAATGCCTTTCAAAGCTTGGAGGGTCTCTTCTTCAGTTACTGTAGAAATATGGAAATATTTTATATATCTTGTAAAGAATACATAAGAGGTATTTATAGACTATACATCTATCTAAATAAGGGTGTAATTATTCTCCTATAAATGCTAATTATTCATAATAAGTTGTATAGGATAGCAGCTCATAATGAGCTGTATGATATTCAACATATTCTAATAATAATAATACTAATATTACAACACTCCCCCTCAAGCTGAGGAATGGATATCTATCATCCCCAGCTTGCAAGTAAGATCTCGAAACCGCTCTAAGGGGAGTCCTTTGGTGAGCACATCAGCTAACTGGAGTCCTGATGGGACGTACTGTGTAGAAATAAGACCACTGTCCAATTTCTCTTTGATGAAGTGTCGGTCTATCTCTATATGCTTTGTTCTGTCGTGTTGGACCGGATTGTGAGCAATACTAATAGCAGACTTATTATCACAGAAAAGTCTCATAGGAGCTTCATATTTTATTTTCAAGTCATCTAGAATAATCTTCATCCACAACAATTCACAAACTCCTTGAGCCATGGCTCTAAACTCTGCCTCTGCACTTGATCTGGCAACTACATTTTGTTTCTTGCTCCTCCATGTCACTAAGTTTCCACCTAAGAACATACAATATCCAGTGGTGGATCTCCTGTCAACAATCGACCCTGCATAATCTGCATCAGTATAGACCTCCATAGACAACTGCTCACTTTTCTTGAACAATAGACCTCTTCCTGGGCTCATCTTTAAATACTGCAGGATTCTATCCACAGCCTGTAAGTGCCTCTCCTCTGGATCATGCATGAATTGACTGACAACACTAACCGGATAAGCTATGTCAGGCCTGGTGTGAGATAGATAAATGAGCTTTCCCACAAGTCTCTGGTATTGAGCTTTATCAACCCTTGGACTTTCCTCATCACTCCCAATCCTGTGGTTTTGCTCTATAGGCACTCTGCTGGGTTTACAACCCAACTTGCCAGTCTCTTTGAGAAGGTCAAGGACATATTTTCTCTGAGAAATGAAAATGCCTTGTTTTGAGTATGCTACTTCCATACCTAGGAAATATTTCAACTTTCCAAGGTCCTTCATTTCAAACTGAGCTGCCAACTTCTTCCTCAAGTTCATCTTCTCAAATTCATCATTACCTGCTATGATCATATCATCTACGTAGACTAACAAAAGAGTGAGTTTACCATTTTGAGAATGCTTTATAAAGAGAGTATGATCACCTTGGCTTTGTTTATAACCCAAGGACACCATAACATGAGTGAGCCTTCCAAACCAAGCTCGAGGTGATTGCTTGAGCCCATATATGGCCTTCTTTAATCTGCAAATCTTATTACTTCCTAAAGTAGGGTCATATCCAGGTGGGATCTCCATATACACCTCTTCCTTCAAATCTCCATGCAAGAAAGCATTTTTCACATCAAACTGTTGCAACTCCCAATCAAAGTGAGCTGCCAAGGAAAGAATGATTCTTACAGTGTTCATTTTTGCTACTGGAGCAAATGTCTCTTCATAATCAATTCCATAGGTCTGGGTGTATCCCTTTGCTACTAGCCTCGCCTTATATCTGTCCAGTGTGCCGTCGGATCGATATTTTACCGTATATATCCATCTGCAACCTACTGGCCTCTTGTCATTTGTCTTCTCAATAATCTCCCAAGTCCCATTTTTCTCTAGTGCCTGCATCTCTTCATTCATGGCTTGAATCCAGTTCTTATCCTTTAATGCTTCTTGTACTGATGTAGGGACTCTAATAGAGTCAATAGCTGAAATAAAACTCTGATGCTGCACAGAAAGTTTTTCAGTAGACACAAACTGGGATATAGGGTATTTAGTACAAGACCTTTTTTCTTTTCTCAAAGCAATAGGTAGGTCATCAAGGTTCAGCTCACAAGAATTACTAGGCTCAGGGTTAGGAACACTTACCTCAGGTTCAGACGATTGGACTTGTTGGGGCAGAACGGGTTTACCTTTCCACCTTTTTCGCTGGAACTGTAACTTGTATCTGTCAACGTTATTATGCACCGGTATTGGTACATCACCACCATCCTCATCATTATTATGCACCGGTATTGATACATCACCACCATCCTCATTAGGCATCAAAGGCTCTTGTATTACAGGAATAACAGGAAGAACAGACAATTCAGGAGACGACTCTGGGTCCTGTATTAGAGGAATAACAGGAAGAATAGACAACTCTGAAGACTCAGCTTCTTGATTATTCTCCCCCTGAAGCTGAGGATTGGGATAAAAAGACTCTGATTCCTGAAAAGTAACATCCATGGATATATAGACACGACGACTAGGAGGATGATAACACTTGTACCCCTTCTTATCTGAAGCATATCCTATGAAAATACATTTAATAGCTCGAGGATCTAACTTACCTCGATGAGGGCCATGAACATGGACAAAGGCAGAACAACCAAAGACACGATTCTGAAGACTTGACAAGATGGGCACAGACGGAAAGAATTGAGTCAGGACCTGCACAGGACTAACACCAGATAACACCCTAGAAGGTAACCTATTGATTAAATAAGCAGAGGTCAAGACAGCTTCCCCCCAATAAAATTTAGGAACATTCATTTGAAAGCGTAATGCTCGGGTGATTTCAAGAAGATGACGATTTTTTCTTTCAGCAACCCCATTTTGTTGTGGAGTGTTAACACAAGTCAACTCATGAACAACACCATTAGTTTTGAGAAAATTGTAAAAATTTTGGTTTACATACTCCTTACCATTGTCTGACCGTAACCGTTTAATAGGTTTTCCAAACTGTGTTTTGACCATTTGAAAAAAGTTAACAAACAATTGACACACTTCAGACTTATCTTTCATAAGAAAAACCCATGTAACCCGAGTACAATCATCAATAAAGGTAACATACCATTTTGCCCCAGAAATATTGGAAATGGATGAAGGCCCCCATACATCAGAATGAACAAGATCAAAGGGTTCGACACTCCTAGTATTACTAGGGGAATAGGTTGCTCGATGAGATTTGGCAAACTGACACACATCACAATGAAAGGAATCAACAGACACTTTGGTAAATAAGTGAGGGAATAGAGACCTGAGCATCTGGAAAGGAGGATGTCCAAGACGCCTGTGTTGGAGCCATATTTGAGCATTTGCCCATGACTCTGAACCAGCCTGATGACACTTACTTTCCTTATGAGGCAGACAATATAACCCGTTATGTTCCTCAGCAATTCCAATCGTCTTACCTGTGGCAAGATCCTGAAAAACACAATGAGAATGAAAAAAGGTTACTACACAGTTCAAGTCTTTAGTGAGTTTATGGATGGACAAAAGATTGTTAGAAAGCTTAGGGACATGAAGCACATCATTTAGGTGGAGAGATGGGCTTAGGTGGATGTTACCAGATCCGACAATCGGGGTTTGAGACCCATTTGCAACGGTAATATGGCTTTTATTAGGTAAAGGTGAATAAGAAGAGAGATATGACATATATGGAGTCATGTGATCAGTTGCACCAGAGTCAATAATCCAGATATCTTTAGAACAAGAGGCATTAAAAGCTAAGGAGCTAGAATTCTTACCCATCATGGTCAGAGAACTAGTGTTAGAGAACTTACTCAAGGAGTCCATAGAGAGAAACAAACCGTCTCGAACCAGGAGAGGATCGAGATCTACTGTTAGGAGAGGATCGAAGGGCTGCCAATTAGAAACACCAACAACGATGACAACCGAACAATCAAGGGCTGCAAACAGCAAGTAAATAGAGGTACGGCAATAAAGGCTGTCCTAAAAAAAAAAGATGAAGGTGAAAACGTCCGGATCTGCAACGGTGGTTGAGCGGTGCACGATGGCTGCAAAGTCACCAAGATCACTAGGGTTCCAAGAGAAAGGGAACCTTGAAAAAAAAAAGGACCGTAATAAGAACGGCTAGTGTTTTGAGCGCGGAAGCAGAGCCCCTAGAATCAGGAGCTCTGATACCATGTAGAAATATGGAAATATTTTATATATCTTGTAAAGAATACATAAGAGGTATTTATAGACTATACATCTATCTAAATAAGGGTGTAATTATTCTCCTATAAATGCTAATTATTCATAATAAGTTGTATAGGATAGCAGCTCATAATGAGCTGTATGATATTCAACATATTCTAATAATAATAATACTAATATTACAACAGTTACATTAGCAGTTAGGATCAACTCATGCTCTCTAGTGAACTGCTTGCCACCCCTCATAACTTCTATGTCCACATGCTTGAGATGATTGCCAGCTTTGCCCATAAGATTTTTATAGTGCTCCATCACTTCTTGAGTAATTTCAACCTGATCTGTAGCTATAGTGTCGTCACCCTTGTGCAAGACATTCATACTCTTCCTTTGATTCTTAGATTTAATGGTTGCATAATAAAAAGCATTGTTGCTATCCCCTATCCTCATCCAATCAATTTTTTCTCTTCGAATTAAAATACTTTCCTCAAGCTCATTCCACTTTACCACATTATCAGTACATCTTTTAACCTTCTCAATAGCATTGTTGTCCATTCTGTTCAGGATTAGGTCCTGCTGAGCCTTTTCTAACTCAATCCTGGCAGTTACCACCTACTGACCCACATTAACCATATCCCTACTAAACTTAACCAGATCCGGCTTTAACCTTTGAAGTTTATGCCAAATAATAAACATAGGGTTCCCACTCATAGGCTTGTTCCAACTATCCCTAACAACCTCATCATATCCCTCCAAATTCACTAGACAGTTTAGGAACTTGAACCTTTTCTGGTACACTTTAGGCTGACTCTTCCCCTCCACACACAAGAGAGCATGGTCTGAGACACTAGGAGAAAGAATCTTCAAAACTGGTTGTCCAAATTCCCTTGGAACCAAGTGGTATTCCCTAGCAGTCTATCAATTTTGGAATAGATGGTACCACTTTCTTGTTTATTACTCCAAGTAAAATAGTCACAACTATTATCCATCTCACTAAGCCCAATAACATCCATCATATTCCTAAGATCAGTATACTCAGCCTCAGTCACCATTCTACCACCTGTTCTGTCTTGAGCCTTCAACACATTGTTGAAGTCCTCAATCACACACCAAGGATCCTGCAGGTTGCCAAGGAGATTCTCCAAGTCCTTCCACAAGATTCTTCTCAACTCTAGCCGATTATGAGCGTAAAATGTTGTAAGCCAGAATTTGAATTGACCAATGTTGTCAACAACTTTACAATGTAAGAATTGATCAGAGCTACTGACATACTGAATGTTGAACTTTTCCTCATTCCAGGATAGCCATAGTCTCCCATTTTCATGATTTTGATAGTTATCAAGATACTTCTCATGCATAACAGGTGGCTTTCATGATCCAACCAACAAATCTGTAACTCTGAAGGCTCATAATCGATAACTGACAGTAGTTGTGGCTTTCATGATCCAACCAACAAATCTTCTAGGTAAACCAATCTCCCTCAAAATACACTCCAGGGCTTGCCAATCTACTTACATTGAATCTGTAACTGACAGTAGTTGTGGCTTTCATGATCCAAGAAAATGAATAATATAAAGAGAGAGGGTTATTCATGGTGTTTGAGAGGATTTGGTTGGAGATAACCAAGTCTTTTGAATACTCTCAATTGAGCTTTCTATTACATTCAGAACTAATATCTATCAAAGAGACTTGCATTTAAAGTTTCTTCATAAGAATCTCAATTTTTTCAACAGCTTGATACATATTTTTCTGTTTGACTTCATCCAAGAGCAAACGGCAAGTTCTGTACATAGGTAGGATATCTTGATCGATCATCTTCTCAAACAGATCAAGCGCCCACTTGCATCTATCTGCTCTACAAAGCCCATGAATTAGCAGTGTATAGGTTGAAAGGTCAAGACCAATATGATATTTATTTATCATGTCATTTAATATATCATTCAGTAAACTATCTATTTGCCTCATTTTAAAGCATGACTTGATCAATGGATGATAAGTCTGAATATCAGGCTTACATAGGCCAGACTCTTCCATCTCCTTCAGAATGCCAAAAGCTCTATCCTCTTGTGCATAGTAACAAAACATAGAAATCAATGAATTATAGGTGGATGTATTTGGGGTCACACCGGCCTTCGGCATCACAACTTTGAATACATGCATAGCATCATCTATTCTGCCTCCTCTCCCCAATGTATAGATGAAGGAATTGTAAAAAAGAGTATCAGGCCTACATCCAGTAGAGCTCATTCTATCAACTACTTGCAAAGCTTCGTCGATTTTTTCTGCTTTTGCCATTGCACACATGATAGTAGTATAAGTGACCACATTAGGAGAGCAATTTTGAGCTTGCATTTCATCAAGAAGTTCATAGACCCGGTCAAAATTCTGGTCTTGACAATAACATTGGATAATGGTGGAATAACTTATAACACAAGGGCGACAGCCGTAACCTTTCATTTCTTGGATTGTCCAAAGTGCCTCCTCAACACGTCGGATTTTGCACCATCCATGAATCAATATGTTAAACGTGTGAGCGTTTGGAGCAATGTGACGCTTCAGTTCCAAGTAAATTTCCCGAGCTTGCTCAACAAATTTCTCTTTGCAGAGAGTATCAAGCAACACATTCATGGATTCTGTATTCTTCTCCAAGCCGAGAAACTGTAAGTCATCAAATATCCTCACAGCATCTTTCCACTGTTTTGCCCCAACAAATCTTCTCATTACTTTGGCTATAGTATTGAGGGTGACGAGACTCTCTTGACGCATCTCTTCTAAGATCTCTCTCATCTTTCCCATTACCTTCGTTCTACCCAATATATCAATCATCATATCATATGATTCTTGAGAATGTTTAAAGTGTGCATGCGAACTAGCCCATTTGAATATCCCCAATGCAGACTTCCAATCATCCTTATACCGACATAATAATCTATTAACAAGATTTTGAGACGGAGGAATACCATTTACAACTTCATCACTGATTAGAGACAGGAGAATGTCTTCCTCGCTGCTTCCTTTGCCAATTTTTGCAGTAAGAGTGTCTACATATCTCGAAAGATCTTGAGATTGTTCTTTACGCCAAAAGTTGCTAGCTTCGTCTCCAGGGTGACAAGTTGCTAAAGAAGAAATGAAAGTTCGTGGACGACATATGCAAGAGGGGTCACGGACAAGAACAACAACACGATATATTAATTGCATGGAAGTGACTTGAAGAAACTTCAGAACCATGGTAATGATTAAGGCTAGAGATGATAATGAAGATTCATTATCTGCTTCAAAATAAAATAATGTGGAAAATTAGCTTTGAGAAAGTGTCAATGAAGAAGTTATATCCTACACTAGATACTATTTCTTAGATAAAAATGACGAAAATATGATTATGACGATAGCAAATTTTATATAATAATAAAGTAAATTGTGTATGAGCTATGAAGATGAAGCATGGACACTAGACAAAGGAAGGACAACGACACTGACACGGACACATCTTTTCTCAGAGGTGTGGGTACAACGAATTATATGTATGTAAGTGATTTTTCAATCTAGATTTGTGGCACTTGTTATAAAATTGCATCAAAAACCGTTAAAAAGAAACGTAAACCAAAATTAAGCATCAAAATTAAAATAAAATCAACTTCATAATTCAATAAAATTTCACAAAAAACATAAAATCAAAACAAAAAATGAAACTTAACGATAACCAATTACTGAAAAAATCAAACTGATACATAATTATGCCTTAATCAATATAGTTATATTCAGTCAGTTACTAAGGCAATCTACACAATAAGCAGGACGATATCTAAAGAGGGCAACACAAATACAATGCATGAAATTAAAACAGCTCGCATGAAATCATAATTTGAGTAGAAGTTTACCATACATCAAGCTACAACGCTGAATTTGTTTAAAGCTGCTCGACGTTGTTGTCGGCTTTTGTTGACTCGAACCGTGGCTGTTAAAGGCAATGCAGTGGTAGCAACGACAGTGACCAAAATCAGATTCAATAAAATAGCAGCAGCACAATGCGATGTTTGCAGTAGCGGGTCCTCCAAGGTTTTTTTTCTTCTCTTTGTTTCTCGTCTCTCCTCGCTAATCCTTCATAGTTTTCTGTTGTTTTCTCTCTGGTTGTGTTGCAACCTTCAGTATTTTATGAGTTCTTTCTAGTATGGAGATCAAAAACTGTAGAGAAAGGCAAAAGGCCCATGTCCAATATGGATTTGTGAGTAACCATCGCCCTCATAATATGCAGAATCCTAGAAGTATGTTCATTGGAGAGAGTAGTCATTTCCAACATCAATACCTGCAAATAGAAGACAATATCAAGATCCCACAAATATATAGCGAGAATATAATCCCATAATTAAAAGAAGTATAAGATTCAACTTTTTGTGTTTCAGGCAAAAGTGACATACAAGAAGAGTACAAAGAAAATAAACATGTTATCATTGGTAAATTTATCTCTAAACAACTTTTTCACACGAATTCTTTAACCTCGAGTCTGACTAGCAGATGGTGTTATCCTAAAGGGATTAAAATCAATGAGCTAGAATTGGGTCTATGCTGCATTACCATGAAGACCCATTAGACATCAAAAAGATCGTGAAATGTAACCCTTGAATCTTTAGGAATTCTTGGTTACTTGTTAAACCTTGGATTCATGACTATGCTACAAAAGATTTGCTATTATACAAAGTTCCTCTTTAGGGTATTCCCCAAAAATTATAACTAAACATACGAGGGAGAAAATTGGTTCAAAGATTGATCAAGTCTTGGAATTCAACCTCCATCTCTTTCCCAAAAGCATCACCCTAGTCAATATCTTGTTTTATATTACTAAATCTCTCAAACCAAGTATGCATATTAACAATTAAAAGGAAGGAACAAATTGGATAGACTTTATATATGAGAAGATTTCCATGTTTGTGGCATAGTGGGACATAATGAGGAATTTTCCCCAATGGAAAACCAATTTTTTTTACCCTAATGGTAAGAGCTCATACGTTCCTTGGCTTATATCTATTAAATTTGAAAATCAACTAAAATACCGAACAAAATAAAACATACAATAGTAACACCTACACCGTATAATAATAAGGTTTTGCTTTTTTAAAGTGCTTAATTTTTATTTTCTTTATTCTTCAACAAACAAATACCTGGACCATGTTGTATTTTGTATGGTGTAAGCATCCTAAACACGTATGCCGACCCGCAAAAACGAATACCCTGCTACTAGACCATTTCCCAACACCTAAAATTAACACCACAACTCGGAATGTTAGTGATGAAACTGTGTTGAAGAAGATGAGAAGTGAAACAATGTTGTTAATATCGGGTGTACAAAGGATGATAAAGGGATAAAGGATGTTGTTGGATGTGTGGTTAGTGAGGTTATTAAACGAGTAAGGAAACCAGTCGCTGGCGGCTGCGTTATGAACACAGTGGATCGGAGGACGAATAGAGGATGTTTTGGAAGTGTGAATAGAAGAGGGTTGAGGCAATCTAGGTTGAAGACGATGATTGGCGAATTTGGACAAAAACTTTTGCTGGTGGAAAGATGAAGGTTATGTATTCTGTTCCAGAGCAGTTTGGGCCACGAGCGGTGGTCAGTTGGCCGGTGATGTTGCTGAGGGTTTTTGTTGTGATCAATGGGTGTGAATGAAAGAGAAGAAAAGGACCTCTCGCCTTTTTCTTTTGTCATCTCCCCTTCTTATCCCCTTCCGTTTCTCTTTTTTTATTTTATAATTTTTGTTATTTAATTAAAAAAAAATTAATATTATTACTATTATTATTATTATTAAAATTATTATTAACACACCCAAGGCCACTTGTCAATCTTTAATTGGATAGGATGACAAAAAATAGAAAAATTTGAAGAGTAACGATTAAGGTTTACTCTTCTGAACCATGGTTCTCAAGTTTATTTATTTTCAGAAGAGTAAGTCTTACTCTTCTTCAAACATTAACGAAACCAAAACTCAGAAATGAGAGTGAAGCATGAATGAATGTAGCGAACAACAGAGGGAAGAAAATCAAGGCGGGCACGATTTCAAGCTAACTTGAGAAAAGAAGAATGAACTCGGAAAATCAAGACGGGCACGATTTCAGGCTAACTTGAGAAAAGAAGAACGAACTCGGAAAATCAAGACGGACACGATTTCAAGCTAACTTGAGAAAAGAAGAACGAACTCGAAAAATCAAGACGGGCACGATTTCAAGCTAACTTGAGAAAAGAAGAACGAACTCGGAAAATCAAGACGGGCACATTCCAAGCTAACTTGAGAAAAGAAGAACGAACTCGAAAAATCAAGACGGGCACGATTTCAAGCTAACTTTAGAAAAGAAGAACGAACTCGGAAAATCAAGACGGGCACGATTTCAAGCTAACTTTAGAAAAGAAGAAGGAACTCGGAAAATCAAGACGGGCACGATTTCAAGCTAACTTGAGAAAATAAGAACGAACTCGGAAAATCAAGACGGGCACGATTTCAAGCCAACTTGAGAAAAGAAGAACGAACTCGGAAAATCAAGACGGGCACAATTCCAAGCTAACTTGAGAAAAGAAGAACGAACTCGGAAAATCAAGACGGACACGATTTCAAGCTAACTTGAGAAAAGAAGAACGAACTCGGAAAATCAAGACGGGCACGATTTCAAGCTAACTTGAGAAAACAAGAACAAACTCGGATTCATCGTTGTTTCCGTAAAGGGCTTGTGCAGGAAATACACAGGCTTGTTTGGATCTGTTGATGTAAGATTTTATGTTGAGCTTTGAGTCTGAAAAAAATGTTATAGGGTTATTAACGAGGCACTTCCATGGTGGAGAGGGTTTGGGCCAAACGATCCATCGGTTTATGGATTTGGTTTGATATTTATTTTTACAGGTTGTAGATGAATGGGCTTCTGGACCATGATGATTCTACTCTCTCTATTTCCACCATTTTCAGTCAAATAACACCCTCTATTTCCTTTTAATTTTTATTTAGAATTTTAAAATTGTTATAAATATTTTGGCCAAAATTTTATTGAGTTTTTTTTGTTTAATTTCATGTACAATCATGATATTAATAATTTCATTTTCATTTAGTATTGTAAGATTTCTTTTGTAAATAATGTTGGTTATGCTTTCACTTTCGATTTAATTCATGTTTGTGGTCGATGACAAGACCTCGAAGTTGTTTTTCTGTCAAATTATTTATGAAAAACGATAAACCCGAGACCAACTTCTTTTTAACTTTTCATTTTCGATTTTTATCCATTTTATCCTCTTTTGTAGTCAATGACGAATTTTTAAGAATTATTATCGGTCAAACTATTGATAGATGATAATTTATTCGAGACTATTTTATTTTCTATTTCATTTTCTTCTTCGTTTTCAATTTTATTCCATTTTTTCGATCTATGATGTCTTTCGATTCGTAAACTCCGTTTTATCGAAGTCGATAACCTTCTCGATTTCAAATCTATGGAAAATGACCATTTGGATCATTCTCTTTACTTTGGGATCGTGATAGGCTACCTTCGATTAATCGACATAATGTTTGCGATTAAGACGAGATCCCACCTTCTTTCGTCCGTGCGACACGATTAAATTAGAGAATGGTCATGAATACCATTTTTCTATCTTGTTTTAGCACAAATATCAATTTTACGCGGCCTTCTATAATTCGACTTTCATCATAAGTCGAGTTACGACGGTTTAGCATTACATTTTCCCCGATTTAATTCCTAACCAAACTAACCACTAACTTTAATTTCCGTCAAATATTAATTGCTTTATAATTCCGTCAAATATTATTGTGGATATTATTATATATTATTCATATTGTCATATTCATATTCATCATTCTAATTCACCCATATTCGAAAACACGTAATAATTATCGAAACGCTAAAAGCTAAATTGGTGGATTGTTGGATCATTGGTCATTTGCAGAAACCTTAACATGGAGTTGTGCACGACTTTAGCTCAAGGCGTAGTTTAGGACACAATGCACACACACGGCTTTCTCTTGGGCTACCTGACAATGAGACCCCTTTATTTCGTGCAATCCTGTGTAAATTACATGTACCCCTCTCCCATTCCGATGTATGTTTCGTATTTCTTTGATTATCGGTATATCTTCTAGAGCACCCTTAGGGACTAGCGTAGATCAAACTATTTTCAAACTAATTCTCGACTCATCATCGAGTCATTTTCAAACACCCCTCGTAAGTCGAGTGCTAGT